CTTCAAGACTCTTTTTTTGTTTATTGAGAAAACACCTAGGCTACCAGAGTGGCCCGGGGTCACTTGCCCGACCGGGCTAAAAAAAAAAAAAGAAGATTTTTTATTGTAAAGTTGGTGAAGAATTTCGATGTGACCCTGAGGCAAAAGTTGTTCAGTTTATTTTTCTGCATAACATAGTTTTTTTCGGGATTTTTTGGATTTTTTTTTTTTTTTTTTGCTGGGACCTTCCTTGGTCCTTGCACGGGCTGGCCACCCGGGACCCGGGCGGCCCGCCTGGTAGCCTAGGAAAACACAGAATTGTATTACCTTTTGGATGTGACAGTGTTTCGTCTGACTTTCACCGACTTTACTACATACGATATATATTATATATAATATAATTATTTATATAATCAAATATTATTTATCTAATACAACATATAATCTATTTTATTGTATTAGATATATTACATTTATGTTTTTATATATATCGTCATATATATCATCAAACTGAACTGGCCAGTAAACCGTCGGCAGAGACCCAGAAGAGGACAACAAACGCGGGGCTGTGACAGACTGTTTCGTCGCAGTTTCACCAACTATACATATAATATAATGTAAATATAATTATATATATCGTCAAACAGAGCTGCCCGGTAAGCCGCAGGCAGAGAGGGAGAAGAGGACAACAAATCAATATCATATATCTATTACAATATATAATCTATTATATTGTATTAGATACATAATATTATATTATATTATATTATATTATATTATATGTATAGTATGTATATAGTCATAGAGAACTGACCGGTGAACGTGAGCAAAAGGGAGAAGAGGACAAGAAACGAGGGAGGGGCTGTGACAAACTGTTTCGTCGAAGTTTCACTGACTACCAAGACAAGGCAAGATATAGGCACACCACATAACGTCTGTCATATCGTCCATATATGAAAAACGTGGAGAATAGACTAAGTAATTTTCAGTATAAACGAAGTAAAAATCGACCATAGTAATAAGCTAGTATTAAAAAAAAGTGCAAACACAGATAAATATTAAATTTGTAAATAAAGAACAGATAACACAAATGGAGTATAAATAAATGGCATCCTTCTGATGATAAATTTCGGAGTGGCAAAGGCACGACCCCGAAGGAAGTGCTGGTGCTGTTCACTTGCCGACTTAGAAAGCCAAAGAGAGAGAGAGAGAGAGAGAATTTGAAAACAAACATTTGGAACATACGATAGAAGACTGTGTACGCAACTGAAATAGTCCTTATGCTTGCACACATCATCCCACCGTTACTTGTTTTTTTTTGGTAGATCCCACCGTTTTTTGGGGGGAGGAGGAGGGCGAGATCTGTTGCCCTTTCCACTCGTTTTGTTCTGTAATGGACCTGTCTCTTATACACATCTAGATGTGTATAAGAGACAGCATCTTTAACAGTCCGTTCCGTACAGATGAGTAACATCTTCAACGGCATTCGGTTCGACTCTCAACTTCGTCCGTACGTCGTCCGTACGGACGTG